GCTCCAAGTCAAAGTATTATAGCTTTGATTACCTTCCAGATAAGGACATGACACTTTAGATAAACGAAGTCAAAATAAAACTCAGCAGACAAATGCCTTTGAGAACAAGACTCCTTAGCTATGTTAAAGCATATCGACCAAGTCCATTTCTGTGCTTGCGCGGTTGTTATTTAAAACACTCAAATACACAAATTAATCACGGCATTAGGTACAAAATAAGTTCTTAAGAGGAAATAAAACTATTGGACCCCTTGAGTCTGTGTTTTATGTTCTTTTGTCATCCAAGAATATATAAAAATGAAAGCCAGTACATCTCATATAAATGTATCCTTTCTACTTCAATATTCATTGCAATAGATTTTATTTATTACACCTTTGAACAGTTTATTTAGATGTAAATGTTATATTTACGCGAAGATATACCCATATTTGAGGTTAAGTGACAGGGATTTACGAGCTCTAGTGTAGTGACGTGAAAAAGCACTTGCAGTTTCAGAGTTTAAATTATAGACATAAATGCAATGAAAGCCATACCAATACATTTTAGTGAGTACACAATGAATCGTTATAAATTATTTTAAAGTTTAGCATGATTCATTGGAACGAACGCAAACCTAGACTGAAGCAAGTGCCGCGTATTTCGACAGCCGAAGAAAATAGAATAATTATGGATGACTAATAAAATGTGGCTTATAAGGGACGAGCTTTCCACTAAATCATACCTTCTGCCCACGTTGAACGACATCAGCTACGTTGGCAACCCTGCCCTCCCGACGAAGCTGTGATACATGTACAAGGCCTTCCCACCTCTTTCGTAGTCCTTCAATCTGAACGACTGCACCAAACGCCAGGATATTTGTTATCCGGCCTTGATAAATATCGCCAACAAGTGGTTCAAGAGGAAGTTCCTTACGGCGTGTCTGTCTCCCTCGTTCGTCTTCATTACTTCGATGGTGACGATTGTCACTGTAATAAAAACAAAGTATGAGATCCTCACAGGCGTATTTTGGGGCTATATACAAGGGAGATTCATATTTTACATCAGTCACATTACGACTTACTCATCATCGTTTGGAATAGATTTAGATCTTGACCGTCTGTCATACCCTCTAGCAGCACGATTCGGATTGCCATACTTATCCACATCCCGCCGGTCTGGACTGTTAGAGCGGTGAGGACTTCGTGATCGTCTGCGTCTAGGTGATCTAAAATATAACGAGACAATCAAGCTAAAAGAATGTATCGATAAAATACGTAATGAAGCAAGAAAGCAGCCCAAGTGAGCTAATAAACGGTAACATACATTGATAAAATTAGCCTTAAAAAATTAAAATGGGCACCTTGAGCGCCTGCGAGATCTTTTATCCGAAGCACTATGACTTCGGCTGCGACGAGATTTTTTCTTGTGCCTGTCTCTATCATGTTTTCTGAGGAAATAGGAATTAAAAAAATGTACCTTTCTTTGACTTTTGAAGTTAAGGCTTTTGGATCCTCCATTGACGCTCTAAAATAAGGACTAAAAAGAAAACGCGTACCTTTTTGCATCACCTAGAAGGGCCTCCAAATTCTTTAAACAATGGGCGGCATCCTGCTCATCTTCTTCATTAACTGTCGGCAGCTCTTTAATCTCATTTGGTATATCATCAAACTTTTCTGGATCAACGAAAACCTTCTCTTCTTCAGCTTTTTTAAGGCTTTCTTTGCGTTCCAATTCAGCCTCCTCTAAATCTCTTTCTCGCTAAAATTGTTAATAGCAAAAAGAAATTACCATAACATTAGGATCCTCATCAGGCATACACAAAGCGGGAAGCAGCTTCTTTTTCAATTCAACGTCAGATCTAATATATTTTTCTTCGTCATTTTTGAGTGAATCTTGTTTGTCTGGATTTTCTGCCTTTTCTTTTTTGGGTAACATTTTCTGTACAAG